GTGTCTCTTACAGCCAGCTCTTGTTTGATGTGCTCTATGGTGGCCTCTAGTGCTCGTGTGCCTTTAGTGGCCTCGTCCTCCACGGCCTTCACCGTCTTCAGTAGAGACGTCACATTTGTCACCATCACCTGATCCCACAGAAACATCACACATCAGAACTCTTGACACACTTATGCATTATGACTTTATGATGTTATGTCATAGAAGACAGTGCTTAAAGCGCTCAATCAAAGGAGAATAATATATGAACGCAACAATACAGAAAGGCTGATAATATTTAAGGTTAGCCAGTATTATAAATTTATATAGCTTGGCACAGAAAAAGAGTTGCCTGGTAAGCCAAGTCAGACTAATTCATTAAAAAGAAACAAATTAAAAGAATGATCCAAATAATGAGCAAAACTGGTCATCAGCATACTGTGCATCATTAGTAGAAATAAGGGATATATAACAATCAAATAATACATAATAATAACCTACAAACTTTTTAAAACACACAATCTACTGACAGTCTCTTTAGGAAACACACTACCTAAATAAAAACACAATAGAAACTCTGTTAACTGATAAATTAATAATTACCAGAAAATAGCCATGAATTTATTGTGAATATATATCCCATATGCTTCAAATATAATTTAACTAATATACTATATGAAATACACTATTTCTCTAGTTTGTGTGTGTTAAGTATTCCAAGTAAGCGTTATTTTAGTTTTTTTTTATACTATTATAGTATTTATTAATATTTTAAGTTAGTATTCATATTTCGGTTTTCATTTTAATTTTTGTTTAAGTTTTAGTAATTCTGTTATATGATTTTATAATTTTTATTAGTACTTAAAATGAGAAATGTTGCCTTAGCATCCATGTGAAAATTTTTTAAGTTTAAGCTTTTACTCTAATATTGATATTTTATTTACATTTTATTTCTATCACTGAAAACATTTTCAATGTTTATTTAAAAAAAATCTTTGTGCAGTTTTAGCTTTAGTCTTAGTTAACAATAACACCACCAATCTGAGTGTAAATCATTAGCAGTTCTTCACTTTGTAGGTCAAACAGACTGACTCCTGATTTCAGGTCACCTAACATTGTCTGGCAGCCCATAATAATCATTTTGACTGAGATCAGTTATTAACGGCCTCAGGCGGAGACCGACTGGATGAGTGGATGACTGAGATGATCCTGCTCTGAGTGTCTTTACCTTAGCAGAGTTCTTGAGCTGTAACATGGCAGGATCGTCGTGAGGTTTGCCGGACGCAGCCTTCGTGGCGCTGATCAGGTCACCCAGAGCTTTAGCCACGTCCTTCACTGCATTGATCAGAACCACCTGAGACACGACAACAAACACGATCTCAGACGGCTGCAGCATTATTGAAATTCTGGAACAACATATGCATCAGCATCACGACTTAACATGTTGCCTACATAGACAGATGCATCACTGAACCACAAACATGAGCATAATCTCACACCTGCATGAGACAAAATATAGCCATGTAGCCATGAGTGAAATGTATCAGTACAAGAACTGTACTATAAAAGTAAATGAAGAAGTCTCACAGCAAACACAAAGTTATATAACACAATTGAAAGCTGTTATGTAAATATTAATGCTGGTTAATAAAGTATCAGTCACATAACAGCATATTATCCTGACTAGCAATAAGTTCAAAAATGACTAGAAAAACTGCAGTATGGATACAAAGACCTCACTAAAATCCACTCAAAAACATCTGCTGCATGTGGAAAGTGAAAATACAGATCTTACAAATGCAGCAGGTTTGAAGATAACGCTTTTATTATGTTCATGAACTTGAAAGGAGATTGAAGTGCAATTAAACCTTGCCTTGATGGCTGAATTTCCTTGAACAATAGAGAATGAGGAGTTACGATCTTTTCACTCCGCATTGCATTTCGGGAAGGCGCCGCCATATTAGCAGGATACGCTATCCGTTCCCATGGTTACTTCTCATTTTCTATAAGGATAAGTGCTTATCTTTTGCTTTGTTTGTGCCTTTAAGTTAAACAACCATTCATTCTTCATTGTATCATTTGCAGGGAAGAGAAGCTATTTGATCGCACTGCATTTCTCTCTTAGGTTTGGTAGAATTTGGTTTACAGTGTTTACCCGATTAGCGTGAAAACCGCTGGACACTCGCTGCTGCTTCAGTCATCATATGGTACATTATCCAAACACAAGTGTGTTCAACAAGCTGACAGAAGTCCATCCATTTCTTTGTTGGAAACTTTTAAATGACAAAGTATAGTTGCTGTCATTGGCCACGGAGGAGAATCACAGATTGTGGGTCACATTCAGCGAACAGTCACAAACTCACTGTACTTCTTATATTTATTTCAACAAATGACAAGCAAAATCAAATCCCTAGGAGCTTGGGGAAAGTGTTGTAGCATTTTCAAATGCTGGTTTAATGTGCTAAGACAGTGATGCTAAAAGACATGCAGATGAGCCAGAATATCAACGCCACATGTTTAAATGTAAAGCGTTTTCCTCTCTTTAGAAAACTGTAATGTAGAAAGCGCTTCTGGATTAAGACAGCGACTTCTAAAGTTCATATTTTGGGCTCATCTGTTTTTCCACATATTTATTAGTAAGATGTGTGTACAGAATGTGGTCTTTAAATATCACGGTCTCGGTGCATTAAGCG